GGGTGGCTGCGGAGGTGGTTGTCGGTGTGGATTTTGCTTTTTGCTGGGCAAAACTAGAGACAACTCAAGTCAGTCAATTGGCCTGGCACAGTCCCACAGTCTGTGGCCCCTGCACATACATTCACTTTCATTTTGGCTGCCGTTTTCAACACTCGTATTGGCTGCCACTGCCACTGCCACTGCTGTTGCTGTTGCTGCTGCTGCATACATTAGGGCGCCCCAGCGCTGTACCGTCGGGCTGCCTCTGCCTCTGCCTCTGCCTGTTTGTAATACGCTTTGCAGTCGCCAGGGGCACAATTATTTTTTACCGTTTATAGGGCATCGCGCTTAGGTGCCGCCAAAACGGACCAACTCTACTCTTTTCCACCCGTTTTGTTGTTTTTCTTGTTAAACGCTCCTCTGCTCAACGGCTTTTAGTGCACGGGAGTGCCGCTAGGAGTACGAGTATTGAGAGATTTGGGGGGCATTGAAGTGTCTGGCAAACAGCCCCAGAAAACACACTTCAATTCTGGCCCATCATTTCTGTGCCATCAGGGGATGTCCTTACTAAGAGATACATTTAGGAGATGGATGTTATGAAGAGGGTACCATTTCAGGGATAATTTAAATATCATTTTATCATTTACAATTAAGAATATTCGAACATTTCGTAGAACTTAAATATTAAACCCCTCGGTCAAAGTATTCATAAAGTTCTTTCATTATTTTTACAATCAATAAACGCCTTTTATGCTATGTTCGTAATGATTTATAGATTGAAATTTAATGGACAAACTTTGTACACACTCAAAGAGGGATATTAGCGATTGGTTGTAAAAATGAAATGATTGTTAATTGGAGGGCCAGAAGGACAGACAGTCGATGGGAAACGGTTTCCTAACATAGCCCTAAACTTTTCGAGTAGCGCATATAAATATTTTGATATTTGAATATTTAAGAAATTTATTAAAAAACTATCAAGCAGGAAGGATAGTTATGATTCATTTTTCACAGTCTTCTGCTTTGTCGTTTTCTTTTCTATTTGCTTGACCATACTTTATGACTGAATACTTGAATCAATTTCAGGAGAACGTTTAGAGGTTTAGTCTTCCGTCTTTTGTGCACAGAACCATAACCATTTGAGAGATTTGTGTGTAAGTTCGAATTAAGGTTTAAATGGAAACAAGATCTAACGCATCTGATTGCAAATGCCAATGACTTTTTAAGGAAAATTCGATGTTAAATGTAAGACGAAATCGTAAACAGAAAATGTACAGTCAAGAAGGGAATGGGAGGGCAGCAAAGGTAAGACGCGGGTGGGATACGGTGAGGTGTTTGCCTTAGCCCTCACGCTTCAGTGTCCACCCCTCTTGATACTTGCTTCGTTTTTATGACATTTTTAAGTAAGTCGCGCAGCTTGCAGGGCACTCCTATTCCCTGTCCCCGTCACTGTCCCTGTCCCTTCCCCACCCACCTCCGCTGTCTGTCTGCCTTCCCCTCTCCTCTTGCTTTATTATTGCTTTCTGTCTTGCTTTTTGTTTTCAGCATCTTCTTTTTATTTTGTTTTGTTTTTGTAATTGAATGCGTTAAATTACAGCAAATTTATGCTTATCAAGTTTTTGTTTCTTCTCTGTTCTTTGCTCTTCCCTCCATTCTCCCCGCTCTCAGTGTCTCTCCCCACTTCCTATCGTTGTCTGGGGGCCCACGAGTGCTGTTTACGGTTATTTAGGCGCAGGCACTAAGTTCTATCTCTCTCCCACACACTCTCTCTCTCTCTCTCTCTCTTTCTTGTGTGTGTATTTTTTTACGAGTATAAGGGGCTGGTGGAGGAGGCACTGGGATTGGCGGTATAAAAGATACTTATTTGCAAACTTTTGTGGCGGCATCGCTGAGTCATTCAAGGATGACAATGAGCAGCGGAACTGGGAGCCGTTGCTGGCTGGAGGAGGATGCCTACAGGTGCCCCCAAGGGTAGTCGCAGATTTAGAGGAGCTCGGGGATTAAACACGAACCATGGAGGTGGCAACGTGACTCACGAATGTGGCTGTTCACGCGCCCATCTCTAGATCTGTGTGGGTGCAATGCTGGGACAAGGTTATCCCTTGTCGCTGGCGCCACGGAAGTGCTGAGCGCGTAACTAAAACTTGTTTTCCTTGCACTGCCGCAACTTGCTCCACTTTCGTCCTGCTCCAACTGCAACACAACCTTGAAACTTCCTCCTGCGTGCACGTAAAAGGGGGAGAACCGAGCGAACCGGAACGGAACGGAACGAAACAGAGCCGGAAGCTCTAACCGGAGCCAAAGCCAAAGCCAAAGTCAGAGTCAGAGACGCAGTCTGGTGTGGGTTATCCGCTTTACCTGGCACACATAGAGGGAAAAAGCAAGAAGGAACGAGGCCGGGTATGAAATTTAAAAGTTGGGCTTAGGCCAGAACCTAGAGGAAGTTTCCTACATTGCGTGGAGCCGTTATCTTTCAGGATATTAACAAATATATAAATACTGTGGCCAAGCAATGGCTCCCGTTTCTTGGGCCAGCGTGAAAATAAATGTAAATTAATGCTTAACGAGAGGGACACACCAGAGAGCAGAGAGTCGTCGCTGCTTCGTGGCTTTGCCACGCAAATCCAATAGAAATTTATGTCATTTAAATGCACGAAAATGCGTAAAATGTCTTAAAAAGAAAATATATGTCCTGGTCATATATAAGCACACAGACGACAGAAGCTGGAGTCGCAGTCTTCAGTCCCACAACGCTTGACAGTGTCAAGGTGCTGCAGTCAGGACAGGACCCGAAATGCCGCACAATTTATGCGTTTCCCAACTGCCAAACAACAAGGAAGAGCTATAAAAGACTGCAACGACTATACGATACCCAGTAGTCGGATGTCTGGGAGTGTAAGCTGAAAGGAAAATTCATTCAAACAATATACCCTTTCTGTGTGCAGCTTAATGGGTACTTCACGTTCAATTTTGAACGCTGAATTATTGTACTCTGGCAGCGACCCATTCGGCAATTTCCCAACTGCTGATTTTCCAATCAGTGCACACTTTGATTTCGGCTGCGATGAGGCAGCTTATTGAAAATATTTGTCATTTGCTGCCAAACGAAATCCAATCCGACGACCGATGCGATGGCTGTGTCTTCATTAGTCTCTGTCGGAGAAACAGAAACGGAAACCAAAGAGGCAGCGGGAACACAGAGCAGAGGGAGTACAGAGCACTGAAGAGCACAGGTCAGGACAAAGTCAAAGATTTTCTCGTCAACTCCCTCAGCGATGCTTAAGTAATAACTTTTCAGCGACAACAAGACAATGGGCTCAGGCCGAGGACCTGTGACACGGGGCACGAAGCACCAAAGAAAAGAAGGGCCCACACGCAGCAGAGGCAGATACTTTGAATGCGTTTCCACTGGCCAGAATCTCACAGACAAAAAGGCAGAGAGGAAGCAATTAGGATTAATTGATTGGTTCGTCGATAAGAATTAAGCTTTTGTTGTTTTACCCACAAAACTCCACAGCATAATAAGTGCTAGTGTGGCAGCGGGATCATAATGGAAAATCGAGGATGTGGAAGCAAATTTAAGCCGGAAGTTGATTTCCAAAATTGTTCTTGCTTTGCTTTTTCAAGTGTGAAGAAAGTACATTAAATATTGATCATTTGCAGTCAGATTCCCAAGGAACCTTAGATGGATTTATAGGAATAAAGATTGTGTTGGGTTTCCTGACTGAAGCATCCCTACTGTCGCCTCAAAGTGGAAACACTTGGCAGCAAGAACCGACTAGAGAATTGACTCGAACAGAGCCGAGCACCGTGCCATGGCGCAGCTTGTTATTTTTGTCAACAGCGGGGCACATGAGACTTCATTTTGCGAAAGACACGCCACGCCACGGCACAAAAAAAAAAAAAAAAGAAGGAAAACTTTTCAACTCTCGATGCAACTTAAAAAAAAAAAGGGACAGATACGAGTATACCCTTTATAGAGTGGGCAAAGAGGAAAGAGAGTTGAAGGAAACGCATGTGTTTTTTTCTCTCCTACTCAAGGAGGTGGAGACGGTGTAGTACCCTCTGGGGAGCAGATGGCGGATTTGAAGTGTGGGCTCCTGGGGCTCCTGGGGCTCCTCCGTATGACAATTGTATTTTTTCTACTTGAATATATCTTCTCATTGCTTTCCTACTTCCACTGCCTTTCGTCTGCCCCTTCTCTTTCTCTGTCTGTCTGTCTGTCTGTCTGTCTGGGTCTATTCACCATCTTTGTTTTTGCAACTTTTTTCCGCCCGCTTTTGCCTGGCAATTGCCGAGCAGCTCAGCGAACAGTGAAAACTAAAAATATGGCCAAGTTTGGCTCTGGGCGATCTCCATGTGAATTTATGGTCCGCTTCGCGTGGGAATTTCCCGAATGTACGCGGCACACCCATACCCCCATACCCACAGTCCGCTACAACATACAAACGTCTACATCTGAACACAAGAGTGTGGTTTTCTGTGTGCTTTTTGGCTTTGACTTTTTTTACAACTTTTTTACATTTTTTTACATTTTTTTACATTTTTTGTGGCGTTTGTTCGTCTGCTTAAAGCGTCGTAAAAATGCTCACAAGGAAATTGAAAAATCGGATGCGGAATTGAATAATGTTAGAGAGGGTCGCAGGGCCATGGAGTGTCACCTTGCAAGCAAAGATTTATGCGCAAGGGAAGAGGGGCATTGGAAAAGATTACACATTTGAAATTGATAGTGGTACATGAGTGGAGGGGGGTGGATGTATGCAGCAGCATTAGGGGAAAACCCAAAGCACTTGTTAACGCAAATGTTAGCCTGCGGCGACGGCGGAAAGATTTTCGTTCTATCCTCAAGTTGATGGAAGATGAACTGAAGGTGGGTGTGAAAAGTGCAACAATTTTCCCACCCATTGAGCGACACTCTGAACGCAGAGTTTCTCCCGGCAATTTAATCAGAAAAGGAAAAGTTCTTTTCAGTTCTCTCGGTTGAAAGACAAACAAAAGCGTAGAAGAGGGTTTGCACTCACCTTTAATTATCGCCAGAAAGATCAACAGGACAAACAGCGACAGAGACGACGGCAGCGAGGAGTCCATGTCCTTGGTTTGCTTGCTTCGCTTGCCTCTTGGGTTGAATAGCTGCCTGACCTCCGACTGCCTGCTGCTCCTGCTGCTGCAATCCTTGCCTCGTCGCCTTGGTTAAATAGTTGGCCAGGGCTTCCCCTTCGTCACCTCTTTTCAGGCAGGGCGTCAGTGGTCGTTTGCAGTGTCCGCGATGATTAGCACAAAAGCGGCGGCAGCTGGAGACAAAAAGCTCCCGATTGGACCGGAGACGCGCTAGCGGAGGGTCAGAGTTCACAGAGAAAGAGTGTCAACAATGGCCGCCGGTGAAGGCGGTCCGTGGCCCTTCCCTGCTTCCCTCTGAACGTGCTTCAGCGCTCATGAAACGTGTCCCGCTATTTTCTCACTTTACTCCCGAATGAATCTCTCAATTTCCTGGTATGCTGTTGGTCTGCCTCTCCTCCAACTGCTTTGATTATTATTTTATTCTACTATATTTTTGAGCAAATATTTGGCACGCGTGTTCCGTTTGCTCGACTCGGATTTTGCTGCGGTTGCGGCTGCTGCTGCTGCTGCTGCGGCTTTCTCTTCCTTTTCGGGGTCTGGTCTTTGAGGTCTTGTCGGGGCTCCAGGTCGGTCTTTTGGGGGCAGCAACGTTGCAGATTTAATTTCCGGCTTGCCTGGTCACAGATCTTTTTGTGAATATCTCTCTCTCTCTCTCTCTCTCTTTCTCTGTTTGCTGCCGCTTCTTTGACGAGTTCTCTTTCCTTTCGCTTTCTTTTGCCTTTCTTCCTAACTTTCCCCTTAGCGTATTTGCTTTTTGCTATAATTTACATAATTTGCACTTGTTTTTTCCTTTATTTTAGGAATTTGGTTTTGTATCTTATTTGTTTTTTGTTTGGAGCTTGAGAAACCTTAGGTAGCAGTTGTTGTTGTTGTTCTTTCTTGTTGATATCCTTAAGTTCAGTTTAGTATCGTTGTTTCGTTCAGTTTTTTATGTTTTTAGCTGTGAATGTTAGAAAATAGAGAAGAAATTACATATAAAAATAAGTTTTTGGTAGAGAATAATAAACAGAGTAATAAGTAGAAATTCTCCATTAAAACTTTACTAAACAAAAACTACCAACATTTTCTTAAAACTTTTCTCTTTGCCCTTCTTTCTTCAACCTCGAACTTCAAACTGCTTGCACTCAACATATCCATCAAAGTTTTTACATAAGTTGAGATTGCGTTTAACTAATTTTCCGCATATATCCTCAATAAATAGATATATTATCGCTAAAATCAGTTAACCTTACCATACCTTCGTCCTACTCTGCTCAAAAACGACTAAAAAAAAGGCTGTAGAAAGCATTTAACTCCCACAAAATCACTCTGACTCCTTGCATATTCCCCTCTATATTCATTAATTCTTTCGTCTCTGAGGTTTTTCGTGGATGGACAGAATCTTAGTGCTAGCCCTTTGATGGCAAATCCTTTCGGCCACAACTTAGCGTACTGCTTAAAAGGAACCGCAAAGAAAAGTGCCACAAAATACTCGAAAAACACACAGAAACTAGAGCCAGCAAAGAACCACACAAAGGCACACAACAGAGAAGCAACAGAGCAAAAAGTTGGAGCAGACTTAATGTTTAATTAAAAAATATATTCTGTTAACCCCATTAAGTGGTGGTTTTTTTCTGTTTTTCTGTTCTTTGCTGTTTTTTTACCCAATTTCTGTGTGCGGGTGCTTTGTCACCTTGTAGGCTCCACCTCTGGATCCACAGACTCCAGTGAGCAAAAGCCCGAACCAGGGGAGGGCACCCATTGATTAGTTTTTGTTTTCGGTCAACAAACTTGAGTAAATTAAAACAATGAATTTGCGTAAAAACGCGCTGCGCACAAAAACAACAGCCACACAAAGCAAAAACCAAGAAAAAACCGAGCCAGGGTCGAGGCTATTGATACCCTTTAATATTCCACTTGAAGCAGACAAGCTGACAGGCGTGGCAAACGTCTAGTCAAAAGCAAAATACCCTTAAACTCTCTGCGCTTGTAAGGGCATCAAAAAATGCGATGCAGGAGCAGAAAAAATAACAAAAGCATGCGAAGCGCAAATTAAAACAGTGGCTACGGCTGGGGCCAGCCCTGGCCAGAGGGAGAGAGCATGTTCTGGAGTAGGTGGCTCTGGAGGAGGCAGGGAAATGCAGTAATTGAAATACATGCGGCGGTGGCGGTGGCGGCGGCATGGCTGCGTGTGGCAAAGAGCGCCAACGATGCTGCCAAGCAACAAAACAGCACCGAGTGCCAGTAGAAAAATTCCCAGAGAATGGAGTAGACTAGACTACAGGAGTACCCGCTACTCTAAGAGAAAAGAGCAACTATAATCGATATTCAAGATCTTCTTCTGGTGTACAAACATATGTCTGTAAGTATAGGGAGATCTTGGATCTCTGTTCCAACAGTTTTTGTGGAACATACCCTGAAATGCTTCAGAGTACCTTGAAAAGTATCGCAGCATGTCGCTTAGCCGTCACAGTCACACATCACAGCCACAGTAAGCCACAATAATTTACACGTGCTCCATGACCACAAAGGGTGGCAAATAGAGCGACACAATGGGAGAGTAGGCAGTCAGCGGGAGAGAGATACAAAAGCACAGACCCACACCATGGTGAAATTACTTAGAAGGTGACGTTGTCCGGCAATAACATATTCACCATGCATTGAGAGACAATCGCTAGAAAGGGATAGAGCTAGAGCTATTAGTCCCCGAAAGAGACTCGTGACTTGTGGTGAAGTTGCCACCTTGTAAGTAAATTCACTTTAGACCAAACCTATGAGTGATAGAGAGCTCGAAAGAGCATTAATTATGATGAAAAATTAGAATATTCAACTTATTTGATTCCCGAGTGGAATCACAAACAGAGAAAGAGCGATGGAGAGCTCCCACTCCTCCTCTCTGACTCTTACTCTCTTACACTCTTACCCTCTCTCGCATTCGCTGATATTAAAATCAGTATATTTTGGCTGCTAGCTGCGTCAGCTGTTTGTGTAATTAGAGGTTTTATGAGTTATGTGGGTGGGTGTGTGTGTGACTTTGCGTGTGCGTGTGTATCTATAAGTGCCCAAAAGCAAAGGCAAGCGCTAGGGTTCTGCGTAGTCCTTGCTGGGGTAGCGCCGAACGAACAAGAACGAAACCTTCGGCCCTTGTCGCGGTTAATTAATTTCAAGTTTTGTTTCAGTTCGTTGCTGGCTGGCTATATTTTTGTGTGTGTGTGGGTCTGCGAGTGGCACAAAGCTGGCAGGTAAAAAGTTTCAAAGCCAATTTAATGCTTCGCCAATGATGAGAGGCAACAGAAGTGGCCGAGGCTGAAGTCTGGAGACTGTGGCAGTGGCAGTGGCAGTGCCAATCTCCCACATACACAATGAGCCTTGAAATTGGAAAGAGTAAGTGTAAGGGTAAGCCTCCAAGCAGCAGAAAGTCCCTGCTCCTTTATCCCTTCCCCTCCTGGTGACGGGTTAAATATGCAACCGCTTAGGCGTGACAAAAAACGCGAAAAAAAGTTGCCTCTGGTTCGGTGCTCGTTCTCGGGCTCCCCTGTGGCCACTGCCTGCCTGCCTGCTGCATTTTTAACGTACTGTACACGGCCTCAAATTACCTGCCACACACACACACATACCACTCCCATGTGGTAAGTGGCCCACAGTATCCGCTTTGAGGTTTCAACTTTTTGCGGTCGTCTGTTCATAAGTGAACTCTCCAGAGGCACACACATGCCGAGATATCCATGGAGATGGCTGAGCAAATTTGCTTTAGCTGCCTGCAAATTATGCACTGGGGAGGTGGTGGCTACTTATCGGGGATTTTGAGTTGAATTAGAGCAGAGTCTAACAATGGGCACAGATTCCTGAACACACCGATGACTCCTGCGGCACCCGATGACGCCTGCTCACCCCTAAGAATCCCTGCTAATCAGGCGGCAAAGTGCGATTCGAGAGCCAATCAAACTAAAACTGCATGTAAAATGAGCTTTCAATTCAGAGTTTTGGAGTGTTGTCGATATGTCAGACGCGGCGGACAGGCACGGCACAGATACAGGGGTGACTATCCCTCTTGGCCTTCCATTCATTCATTCATTCATGCATTCAACTGCCGATAAACACACACAAAATGCAATGCACTCACTCACACACCCTCACCCAACAGCAGCACTCGTACATACACAACACACAAACACACACTCAAACACTCCCAAAGCACAAATATTGCCCCATCGCGATGCATCGATGAACTGCGGGGAGGCTCAAGTCATTTCGGCAAAATACTGCTGCATACTTTTGTGCGGCTTTCGAGTGCGGTTATTGGTGCCCCTCTTTGAATCGATGCAGGGGGGAGCCTTTGGGAGTAGGAAGTGGCAGGATGGGCGTGGAGTGGAGTGAAGGCTGGGAGTCAAAGCTTTTGTTAGCACAAAGCCAAAACAACAAGTGCTATGTAATTACAACAACAGCGCAAACGACAAGGGAAATGCAGAAAAGTGCAGGAAGACAGGAAGGAAAGGCAGGGAGAGAGAGAGAAAAAGAGAGGGAGAGGAAGAGAGAGGAATGGCTTATTTGTTGTTCACAGCGATGGAGATGGACTCGTGCGACAAAAGACACACATCACGAGAGATATCCAGCTCTAAATGAAATGATGATTCAGAAAGATTCAGTAATCGCACCAACAGATATTAAGATTAATTTTATTTGTCGCTTTTATGGTGACTAAACTGCAGCCACGTGACCGCACAAGGTGTCACGCACTCATCTCCAGGCTGCCTGTTGCCCAACCAACCAACCAACCTACCAACCAACTGGGTCAGACATCGCATCGATAATGATGAGAGATGCGGAATGCGGAGGCATCTGCATGATGATGATGAGCAGAGCTGACATTAGAAACAATTTTAATAGCCATTGGCGTAGTTTAATTAAAATTGCGAACCAAAAAATATTCAACTATAATCTATGGCCGGAAAAGATAGAGAAGCGAAATAAATATAGGCCCAGAGAGCGAGGGAGCGAAGTTAATTTCATGGCGGAAAACGGGGAAATGGCACAGCAAACAAAGGCAAAGACAATGGCCAGCAGCCAGCAGCCACCAGCTGAGAGTCACCCATACCCAGGACACATCAGGACACACCAGGACACCCACACACACACTGATGCAGAAAGAGAGAAATTAAATTGGAAATGTTGTAGTACGTGCAGCAGACAGCAGGCTAAAAGGAAACACAGCAAAGGCATACTGCAAAAAAAAGGAGGAGAATAGCTGAGGAATGCATGTGTATGTGTATGGGTATGTGTGTGTGTGCAACAACAAGTGGCCGCCAGGACATGGCAAACGGAAGCTGTTGCTGTTGCTGTGGCTGCTGCTGCAGGATGCAGGACTCTGTGCCCATTATACAAATGGAGGCAGGCGGCCTCTTATAAGTTGGAAATTGTCTCAGATTTTCCGAGAAAGAAAAATGAGGGGGGAAAGCAACAAGCAACCAGCAAACGGAAGAGAATACGAAAGTTTGATGCCCTCTAAAGGCACACACAAAAAACTACTGAAGAGGAAACTATTGAGCAGAATGGAATTTAATAAACATTACTGCAGATGCGAAACTACTTACTACTCCTAATCTGAGCATAAAATAACATGCTAGATATATAGTTATAGCAGCTCCAACTCCATTAAAAAGTTATTCGACTTCAAGCAAGAGATAGAGAGAGATTCTCCACCATTCAGTGTCTTGGCCATCTTTCAAAGCGACAGAC